GTAATTTCTTGTTTTGGGTTTGCGTTGACTTACTCTGCTTTTCCCCAAAACAGAGTAGCTGTGGAATTTGTTTGAGTAGTGTGAAGACAGGACATGGGACGGCGATTTACACGGCGGAGTGTGCGCATGCGTTTCATTTTCCTTGTATAGCAGCACATGTCAGAAACCACGCCGCTCTGATTTGCCCTGTCTGCAACGCCGCATGGAAAGACGTTCCTCTGCTCGCCGCCCATAAAAATCTGGGCCCATTAACGACCCAAAACGATTCCCGACCCAAAATTGAAGATAAAACCATGATTGAATCTTCCCCCAGAGCGTTTACACCCAGACAAGACCAAAAACAAGACAACCCAAAAGTGAATTCCTTGGAATTCAGATCCTACGATGACGATGAACCACTTTTGTCCCCCACTGCCGGAAGCCGGATTATCCCAATACCGGAAGCCGATGAGAACGCTGACAGCGACGATGTGGAAGAATTTCAAGGTTTCTTTGTCGATCCAAAGCCGCCGCCACCGCCACCGCCGCCGAGTTCTGTGAAACGTTCAATTCAGAGGACCAATGTGCAAGTCCAGCTGCTACCTGAAACGGCGCTGATTTCTTCCGGGCATAGCCACGAGACCTACGCGGTGGCTCTGAGAGTGAAAGCACCGCCGCCGCCTCCGTCGCATCTCTGCCATGCGCCAATTGATTTGGTGGCGGTACTGGACGTAAGCGGAAGCATGACCGGCGCTAAATTGACGATGCTTAAACGCGCTATGCGTTTGGTTATTTCTTCGTTAGGCTCGTCGGACCGTCTCGCCGTCGTCGCTTTCTCGGCCACCCCCAAAAGGTTGTTGCCGTTGAGGAGAATGGCGGCTCAAGGCCAACGCGCTGCCCGGCGCGTGATTGACATGCTCGTCTGCAGCCAAGGAACCAGCGTGGGGGAAGCTTTGAGAAAAGCCACAAAAGTACTGGAAGACCGGCGAGAGAGAAACCCGGTTGCAAGCATCATGCTTCTATCCGACGGCCAAGATGAGCGTATCTATTCTGGGACACGACGACACGAGTCATCAACCCGGTTCGGCCTTATTGAGATCCCGGTTCATGCTTTTGGGTTCGGTGAGAGAGGTGGATACTGCCATGAACCGGCGGAGGATGCCTTTGCAAAATGCGTGAGCGGTTTATTAAGCGTGGTGGTTCAAGACCTCCGTATTCAACTCGGCTTCCCAAACGGTTCATCACCAGTTGTGATATCGGCCATATATTCCTGTGCCGGGCGGCCCACGGTCTGCAGTTTGGGTTCGGTTCGGCTCGGCGATTTATACGCCGAGGAAGAAAGGGAATTACTCGTCGAGTTGAAGATTCCAACCTCGGCTGCTGGGACCCACCACGTGATGACGATGCAGTGTCTGTACAAAGACCCATCAACTCAAGAAGTAGTTTACAGCCGCGAACAAGATATCCTAAACATCAACGCACGTCCTGTAGCCGTCCGATCATCCAATCCAAAGATCGAACGGCTCAGAAACACATTCATAACGACTCGCGCTGTTGCAGAATCCAGGAGATTAATCGAGTACGACGATCATACGAGCGCGCATCATTTACTCGCGTCGGCGCGCTCGTTACTAATCCAAGCCGGATCGCCGGGTGCTGACGTGTACGTACGTGAGTTGGAAGTCGAGCTGGCAGAACTCCATTGGCGGAGACAGCATCAACAACAACATGTAATTACAACAACCGCACGTAGTAGGAGAGGCGACAAGGAAGCTCCGGCTATGGTTGACGAAAACGGTGAGCCGTTGACTCCGACATCGGCATGGAAGGCGGCGGAGAAGCTGGCGAGAGTGGCGATCATGAAAAAATCGCTGACGAGTAGAGTGGGGGATTTACACGGCTTTGAAAACGCTAGGTTCTAGAAACAGAGGACTGTTCATCAAATCCACTGTCGTTCTTCGTAGCTTAGTATATGCAGAGAATAGAAGAAATCATAAAATGGGCCCTTTCCTGTTCTTATTATTATTATGTCATGATGAACATATGATTTTTAACCGATGATTCTTCGCTTTTGACATTTTCTCGTTCAAGTTCTTTGCATTTGATTCCTTTTGTGCCTCCGAAAAGGACCCATATTGGAGTGTTTGGCAAAATGAAGCCCGAACCCACTGCTAGTTCACAATTTTAAAACGTGTCTGTTAGGGAGAGGTTTTCACACAATGATAAAGATGTTTTGTTCTCCTATTCAGCTAATGTGGATCTCACAATCCACTCTCTTGAGGGATAGTGTCCTTGCTAACACATTGTTCGGTGTCTGACTTTGATACCATTTGTATATAGCTCAAGCCCATGTTCGCTGTTAGCCTCACAGTTTTATAAGTAATGCTTCGTTTCTCTCTCCAACCGATATAGGATCTCACAAAAGCATAGAATGGGCGAAGAATGGAGGAGACCCATATCATGTTGTGTGGCCCCAAGAGGAAGGGACAGTGCGCCATAACTTGTTTAGTTGATATCAGTGAAGGGAAGGGATAGCAGTTAGGTTGGTGTGAACAATAAAATAACAGAGATTGATTGTGGGGTGGGTTGCAAACATTGGTCCACCCCTACCCTAGAGGGACAAACATGATGGAACATGGACCTTTCTGTTCCTTTTATCTCATCATTTTGTGCATGGGCCCAAGTCCACTAGTGTAAGCCTAAGCCCATGGGCCCATGAGAGAAAAAGCATTGTGTCGACCGAAGAGGACGTCGACCGAATACCAAGAAATTAGGTTATAGCTTATCGAGCTGGCTATGATCGAGATGAGGCAAATTATCTTCCTTGCGATCGACTAAGTCATTGTTTCTGACAATAATGCTAAGGGAAGTGTCTTTCACAATACTAACTCAACTCTACTTACACTCCCCTTTAATTCTAAGCACGGGAATTGAAGCATTCTTTACAAGGATGTGAAAATCTCTCTCTGATAAATGTGTTTTAAAATTGTGAGGCTGACGACATGTAACAAGCTAAAGCAGATAATATTTGTTTGTGGTGGGTTTGGGCTATTACAAGTGATATTAGAGCTCGACACCGAAAAGTGCGCCAACAAGAACATTGGGCCTCAAGGTGGGTGGATTATGAGATCCCACCTCGATTGGAGAGGGGAACAAAGCATTTCTTATAAAGGTGTGGAAACTTCTTCATAACATATGTGTTTTAAAACTGTGAGTCCGATGGCAATACGTAACAAACTAAAGCAGACAATATCTTCTAGTGATGAGCTTGGACTGTTACAAATAGTATCAGAGCCAAACACCGAGAAGTGTGCCATTAAGGACGTTTGGCCCCGAGGGGGTGGATTGTGAGATCCCACATCGGTTGGAGAGGGGAACGAAGCATTTATTACAAGGGTGTGGAAACCTCTTCCTAACAGATGCGTTTTAAAACTGCGAGTCTGACGGAAATACGTAACGAGCTAAAGTAGACAATATCTGTTAGTGGCAGGCTTGGGCTATTATAAATGGTATTAGAGTTAGACACCGAGAAACGTGCCAACAAGAACATTGGGCTCCAAATTGGTAGATTATGAGATCTCACATCGATTGGAGAAGAGAATGAAACATTTAAGGGTGTGGAAATCTCTTCCTAACAGATGTGTTTTAAAACTGTAAGTCTGACGACAATACGTAACGAGCTAAAGCAGACAATATCTACTAGTGGTGGGCTTGAGCTATTACAAATATATTAGAGCCAAACACTGAGAAGTGTGTCAACAAAAACGTTAGGCTCCAAGGAGGTGGATTGTGAGATCTTACATCAGTTGGAGGGGGTGGAAACCTCTTCCTAACATATGCATTCTAAAATTGTGAGGTTGACGACAACGGACTAAAGCAGATAATATTTGCTAGTGGTGGGTTTCGACCGTTACAAATAGTATCAGAGCTAAATATCGAGAAGTGTGTCAATAAATATGTTGGGCCTCAATAGAATGAATTGTGAGATCGCACATTAGTGGAGAAGAGTAAAGAAGGGGAACGTATGATCTTGGTTTTCAAATTTTTTAAACTCCTTCATCTTCTCTAAGTTCTAAGTCCCAAGAAACCCAATGATTCCTCAAGAACTGGACGCATACATCAAAGAATCAATCGACCACACACTGGGCCTCCCCGTCTCCACCCAAACGCTGGCTCTGAAACTCGCCGCCTCCGAAGCCACCCAGCGCCGCCTCGAAGCCCAATGCCTCTCTTTACAGTCTAAATTAAACCAACACATCCGCTCAACCAAAGCCGCACAGGTTCGAACATTAGTTACTTCATAAATTTCATGATTTTTTTTTTCCATTATCTATGGGTTTGGTTGATTCAGGCGGAAGCGATGATGAGCGCGCAAGGCTTGAAGAAGGCGATTGAGAGAAACGAGCGATTAAGCAAAGAGAATTCGCGTTTGGAGGATCAATTGAAGAAAATGAAAGTCATTGCATGTAGAGGGCAAATGGCTATCCATGGCGCCAAGGAGGCGGAAGATCGTGCGCGTAAGTTGAATGACGAGGCTATGAAATTAACCGAGGATTTGAATTTCTTTAAAGAGCAATACCAAATGCAAAAGGTGAGGTTAATTTGGATCGTTCTTTAATCTTTTGTTAGCAATCACGACCCTCCACAATGGTACGATATTGTCTATTTTCAACCTAATCTTTAGTGATTTTGCACTTGGCTTCCCCAAAAGTCAAAAGAATCAATTGGCCAACGTTGGACCCTCCCAACAATCCTCACCCATTTTCCCATTAAGCAAATTACATCATAGAGCCTCCCTTTAGGCCTATGGACCCTCGAACGACCTTTGCTTAATTGAGGCCTCAAAAGGCCAAAGAATTAATTAGCCAACGTGGGACCCTCCCAACAATCTTCCTCTCGAACAAAGTACACCATAGAACTTCCCTTGAGGCCTATTGAGCCCCTCGAATAGCCTCCTCTTAATTGAGGTTCAACTCCTTTTTGAATTTAATTCAATTTCGTTGCAGTTTTCCTTCGCTTCCATGGAGGAGGTTCTGGTCGAGACGGCTTTAAATGATTTGGTTCTTGGGGATACTGGATCAACCATTGGTCAGTTCTTGGTGGCGAACATGAACAACGAATCGTGTCGAAGATTGCTGCATTTGTCACAGAGCTTAAGGCCTTCAAGTCACAGAGCCCTGTCTCTGGCTGCTCAAATCAAGACCCTCGAGGAAAACAATCGACAGCTTCAGATTCACCTCTCGGTAGCTCAAGGGGAGGTGAGATGTCATAAAAGATTCAAACTTTTGACCTCTCGATGGAAACCCATTTCATAAAACGGTTCGTAATTTTTTGGTATGGTTCTTATTAAGGTCATGCTATTGTCTGATGAGATTGGTCGGCTGTTGGAGGATAAAGAAGACAGCAGCCCAGACCCAGATTTTGCCAGGAAACCACCCGCTAGTAGTTCATCCGTGAAGGTTGAGAAAAATGAATGGAATGGCTGTAAATTGTTTAAGCAGTTTGTGATTGTTGTATGTTTTTGTATAATTGTTCATTATTTTTATTTACGTTGACTTTCTAGAACCATGAATTGTGTCAACGGTATTTGACTTTTGCAGTTGCGTCAAAACAAAAGACCATGGGAATCGTCGAAGTCGGAAGATTGATTGTCGCTTCATTGTCCTTCATGTTTAGGCCCCTTTTCTTATGGGTAATTAGGAATGTACATTGGATTTTGGGTTGAATGGTCCAACTTTTTTTATTATTTTAAAAAATTATACATGATTTTTTGTAATAATCTTAAAAAATAAGTGTGAGATCCATTTCGATTAGAAAAAGAAACGAGTACCAGAACGAAAGCCGACTTCCAAAGGAGGTGGATATCGGATGGAGTGCCAGCAAGGACGTTGACCTCCAAAAGGTGGTGTGCTAATAAGGACGTTGACCTCCAAAGGAGGTGGACAATGGATGTTGTATGTTAGCGAGGACGTTGAGCCCAATGGGATAGATTGTGAAATCTCACATCGTAGGTTTAGTGGTGGACACCGAGTGGTGTATGTTAGCAAGGACACTGAGCCAAATGGAGTGGATTGTAAGATCCTATATCGATACGTTGGCTCCGAAAGAGGTTTGGAGGTGGACACTGGAGAGTGTGCCAGCAAGGATGCTGACCTCCAAAGGAGGTGGACACCGGGTGGTATATGAGAGCGAGGACGCTGAGCCCATGGGATGAATTGTGAGATCCCACATCGATACACTAGCCCCGAAGGAGGTGGACACCGAGTGGTGTGCCGACAAGGACACTGACCTCCAAAGAAGGTGGACACCAGATAGTGTGCCAGCAAGGTGGACACCGAGTGGTGTATGTTAGCAAGGACACTGCACCCAATGTGGTGGATAGCAAGATCTCACATCGATACGTTGGCCTCGAAGGAGGTGGACACCGAATGGTGTCCCAGCAAAGACGTTGACCTCCAAAGGAGATGGAGGTGAGTTGTTTATGCCAACAAGGACGTTGAGCTCAATGAGATGGATTGTGAGATCCCAAATAAATGAATATCAGCATCTGGAGGACGAAATTTTTTTACAAGAATGTGAACCTTCCACTAGCACAGAGCACAGGTGAGAAAATTCATAAGAAAAAATAAATCTAATGAGTTGGACTCTTGGTATAAAGTAGAGTAGGTTAGAATGTAAACTCTATTCTTTGGTCGAGTTGAGATGTTACCTTATTCACAGGTCGATTGAGTGGTCGAGTTGAGATGTTACCTTATTCCCAAGTCGATTGAGTTGTACCGGAGTTAGATTTGTGAGATGGGTAGAAAAATATGGCAAACAGCCTAATAATACTAATTAAAACATACAAAATTAATTAAAAAATTATAAAACATTTTATTGTTTCTAATCCTACGCACAAAATTTTCACCACAAAACTAAGAAAATCGTACTATTATGTATTACATCGCCGCCGCCGCCGCCGCCACGACGAACATCACTGCTACAAGATACCCACAGCGGCGAACATTGTTTGACGCAGCGCCATTACCGGGACCCGACGGCGGCGTTGGCGGTGGATTAGGATTTAATTCCGGAGGGTTTGCGATGGATGCTGGTGGAATGACAGCAGTGGCAGGCGGAGCTGGAGGAGAAGCGGTCGGCGTGGGTGCTGGCGGATGCGACTTGGCCATTGGAGGGAGAGCCGGCGAAACCCTCGGAGCCAAGGTTGGGCCCAGCCTCGAGGATGGCGGACGGGCGGTCCGAGTCGGTGATGCGGCTGGTGGCATTTCCGGAGACAGAGCAGCGGCGGAAGAAGCTAATGAAGCGAAGAGGAAAGCGTAGAGGAAGGTAGAAAGAGGCATCGTGGATGGGTGGAAGAAAGTCCGATGATGATCGAGAAATCATCAGAGCGGTGTGCTGTGTTTATAGAGAGACAGCGGAGAGGGAGGATCTGCCACGTTGTGTGTTGGGCGGTGTGACGGTGTAAGGCTTTTCTACATGTATATATATACACGAGATGGGGTCGGATTCTGATCCGTTTAGGTGACTGAGAAAAATCTCTTCTCACTGTCTGTTCATGTGATGTCCCACATTAGTTGGTTTTCACTATGTGATGTCTCACTTTAGTTGGGGAGAAGCAAACCATCATTTATAAGGGTGTGGAAACTTCTCATAAAAGATGCATTCAAACCATCATTTATAAGATGTGGAAACCTTGTCATAGGAGATGCTTTTTAAAGCGTTGAAAGAAAGTTAGGGAAAGTCCAAATAGGAGAATATCGGGGCGGTTACGGTTCAATTTTTTATTTAAAGAGATATTCTTTGACTTGTTCTATGCAAGTCTCTTTAGGGTTTTGATTCCACCTGTTACATAGACCTTTATGTTTACATTCAAATTAAAATAGTGTTTGAAAATGGGGTTCTTCCTATTAGGAGTCCAGACAAGAAATTGAGTCTCGATTAAGGGGAGGTTGTTCAAGAGCTCTATAGGCCACAATAGAGACTCTATGATGTACCTTATTCGAGAGGATTGTTGAAAAAGGGGTCTCACATGGGCTAATTGAGCCGAAGATTATGGGTTTATAAGTAAAGAATACTATCTTCGTTGGTATGAAACCTAACCAAAAGTAAAGTCGCTAGAGTTAAGGTTCAAAATAGATAATATCGTACCATTGTAGAGGTTCATGATTTGAGGTGGACGGACAAACCTATAGAACCAACCAGTTCATTGCCTCAAACACGCCCTAATGTGTCAGCCACATGTATTATTCTATGATTTATGCTCATTTGAATGAACCAAATGAGAATAATTTTAATGATACAATTTCTTTTTCAATTATATTAAAGAAATAATTTATTTATTTTTTTAATTAGAAATTGAGATGTTTGGGTCCCTATTGGGCTATCAACCTGTTCAAGTCTCCTCTGTGAGGACTGTTAAAAGCCCAACATCACATGGGTTGTGGACTTCAAAACAATGTTACGCTGACCCAACAAAAAGTCAACCGAAGCAAAAAGTCAACCCGTCTAAATGTCATTTTTTTAGATTTAATTCATATAAGCATTTTAGTTACCACCAAGTCGCTTTTAGGTCATTGTAATATCAATTTTTCGTTTGACGTTTTAATTAATTTATATATGAATATTTTTTAAATAAGAACAAAATTTTATGAGAACTTATTTATTTATTTATTTATATATATATATAATTCAGAGATTATTTTTCATTAATGCAAATCTAATAATGGAAAAATGAAACCAGACAAGCTCATCAATATAAATATTTTTTTAAAAAAAAATGAGGCAATGCTAAAATCAAAATATTTTCCAAAAATTGACGAAATATACAGTTGGAAATATGGTATTTGGGTGACCCGTGATGCAGGGGTCTCTTTTTGTCCACTCGTTAAAATTCCGATCTACGTGGACGTGGTCCAATTTGGTTGTTTCTATTTCAATCTGACGTGTACTGATTATACTGAAATTAAATTTGTGACTTGATGCATTAACTAACTAATTATAATTATTGCAACCTAAATTTGCATAATAATTAAATTCCAAAAAGTAAGCGGATTAAATATCACTAATCATAGGATTTTTTTTCTTCCTTATTAATATAAATAATTATACTTCTATAATTAATTTATTTTTTCTTTTCATAACAATACGTCGCTTTGGTTAATCAATGGATAATTATTTCAAAACTTTATACTAATAAAATATAATTAATAAATTACAAAAATACCTATTGTAATCCTATGTAAATTTAAAATTTTAAAATAATAAAATATTCGTAAGATTTACTTTTTATTTAAAAAATATTCTTAAAATTTAAAATTTTAATAATACGATTAAAAGTATTTTTTTAAAACTTTATAATTAAAAAAAAAAAAAAAGTCTCATTGTAAATGGGCCCACGGCGTCTTTAATGATGCTCACTAACACGTCACCGACATTTCGCCACGTATACACCATTCGCTTTTTTCACTCACTGATTTGTCGTTACTTTATGCGCCCTTTTTTATGGCCATTTTTTTCAAACTATCTACAGTAAAATGTTGGAACTTGGTGCCTTATGGGGCCAGCTGGATTATGCCACGTAGCAAGACAGAGATCTGATGTCTTGTCTGTATGACACGTGTAAATGGTCAAAATTAGGTTTTTTTTTTTTTTTTTTTTTTTTTTTTTTTTTTTTTTTTTTTTTTTTTTTTTTTTTTTTTTTTTTTTT